AAGTGTCTCCCACCTCCAAGGAGGAAATACAGGAGTTCCCAGAATCCTCAGGAGAAGGCCATGCCCACACAGAGGCCTCATTGGCTATGACCCGATTGACAGACTAGACTCTACCCCATCACTCTTAATCCTTTCAAGTCCCAAATTGACACCAGATTATGTAACTGCCACAGGTACCTTTTATCAGTGAATATTTAGCCCCTAGTAATTGAGTTCCCTTTGTGGTGGTTGTTTTTGAAGAAGGATTCTTATTCATGAGCTTCTAAGGAACCCTTGGTGCCAGGCGTTTTCAAAAAGGCCCTCCCTCCTGTTTTGTTTTGAGTTCTAAGAAGTTTTGTCTCCATCTAGTGGCCCAAGTGTTCCGTGTCAGCAGCCGGAGGATTTTGTTTTCAGTGTCCCTGGAAGTGCAGAATGTCATTGAGACCCCAAGGATCAGAGAGAGTTTCTTTTTTTTCTTTTTTCTCTCCCGGGGCCAGAGATTCAAAGGCCCCAGGAGCAAGGGCCTTCTTGCTCTGTCACCTACACATTTTAGAGATAAAACTACCGTAACTGACTCTCAGTGCGACAGTTCTTTGAATGCTTGCCCGAAGAACACTTTTTGTTCTGTTTTGAGTTCTCCACTCCTCCCATGCTTTCGGGAAGAACGTTTTTCATTTCACTGTGTTTTGAATTCCCTATTCCAGGCAGTGCGCTGGTGGAAGTTGGCGAAACCATGAAGCTAATGGCTGAGGTGAAAGACTCCCTTGATATTAATGTAAAGCAAACGTTTATTGATCCGCTTCAGTTACTACAAGACAAAGATTTAAAAGAGATCGGGGTAAGCCTTCCAGGCTCTGCCTGTTCCTCTTGCTTCATGAGGCATTTCTATTTAAAACCTTTCTGTGGGGACCTGGGGAGCGCATCCTTTTAGTGTGGGTGGTGACAAAACAACAAAGTATAGCTCAGTTATATTGATCTGAGGTCAATGTGTGGGAAGTATCAGGATCTGTCTGCCCTATCTGTCATGGATGTGGGCACGGGGTGATGGCCGACTGTGTCTCACATCCCTCCACGTCATTCCCAGCTTTAAAATTCTGACTTATGGAAGGCTGCCGTGGAGGCTCAAGGGTCAGGCGCTTTGTGTTAGACAGGGTTCTCTAGAGAAACAAAGCCAGGACACTTATGATTATATATGTGTGTGTATATATATATATACAGCATGAAGGAATATAACAGCTAATTAGTCCACACAGCATTACAGAGGGCTCAGTTCAACTCACTTCCATGGAACAGTTAATTTCCTGGAATCCCTTCAACTCAAGAGGGTTGCTGGGTCCAAGGTCAAGGAAGCATACAGCTGAGTCTTCCGTAGAGCAATATAGGCAGTCCAGCCACAGGCAGCAAACAGCAGGGCAGGTCACCAACAGTCAGCCAGATGATAGGATCTGACAGTCCACAGCTTAGGTGATGTATACACCAGCAGCGTGGCAAAGCAGGTCTCGAAGGAACCTCAAGCTCTAGCGACAA